CAACTTGACATTTTGTTGGATAGTTTCTGTCATTTCCTCTAACTGCTCAATTCCAATTTTCATATCTTCAGATTCTTCCATGAGGAATTTCATTCGTCTGTTGACGTCTATTAATGAATTTTTGATATTATCCATCTCTAAATTCGATGTTCCTGCTCAAAAAATCTGCAAGATAATTATTTGTTCCTTTAATATGAACAATATCAAAATTGTAGAATGATAAATATGCTTGCCATCTGTGTAACCTCTATATTGAGGTTCCATAGGTAACTTATTTCTAATAAGACCTGTAACTTGAGAATTATCAGTTTTAACAATGAATTTTTTAGATAAAAGAAATAATGAAAACTTTTTTATTTCTCTAATAATTGCTAACAATTCTTTCTCATGGGTAGTATAATTTATTTCTGCTTGGTTAAAAGTTCCACTTGAATATTTGCATATTTCATTTAAATCTGTTTTTAATATAGCTGCTCAATATTTATCCGAGGCATCAGTATTAACAATTAAATTATCTTTTTCATCTGGTAATCTTAATTTTGGTAAATTTTTACATTCTTCTTTTAATGCTTTAACAATTTCAGTATGTTCTTTATTCCAACCTTTAGTATTTGTTTTCCTAAGTAGAATTTGTATCTTATGTCTCTTTTTTTAGATATTTTCAATAAATCGTTCAGTATAGTTTAAACATCCTAAAAATTTTTGTATTTGTTCTTGGGATTTTAATTCATCTGGAAAGCTTTCTATCTTTTTGGATATATGAGTCTGTAATTTTATTCCTTTTCTATCTATTGATAATACTAAAAAATCTATTTATTGTTTCTCTATTATAGATTTCTTTTTAGAAAGTACAATCCCTTCCTTTTTGCATTCATTTATAAATTGTAATAAATGATTCCTATATTCTTTTTTATTATTAGAGCATATTAGTATATCATCAATATAAACAATAAGAAAATCACTATACTTTTTGAATATATTATCCATCTTTCTTTGATATATTTGTGGTGCATTTTTTAAACCAAATGGCATAACTAACCATTCATATTTTCCTTGAGGTGTACTAAAAGCTGTATATTGTATACTATCTTCTTCCATTTTTATTTGCCAGAATCCTGATTTACAATCAATTTTGGAATAATATTGTTTTCCTTTTGCAAGGTTTATTATGACTTTCTTATTTGGTAAAAAGTAACCATCAAATTTAGTATATTTATTTAATTCCTTATAATTTATTACCATTCTAGCTTTTCCTCTAACCTGCTCAGAATGTTTCATAACCATAAAAGCTGGACTACTATGAGGTCCATTACTGTGTCTAATTAGCTTTTATTCTAATAGTTCTTTTATCTGAATTTTAAATTCTTGCATATCCTGTAAGGTATACATCATTGGTCTAACTCTTATTATAACATTTTCTGTTAATTCTATTTTAGCTTTAGGATGATATGGTTTCCAAAATAATAATGGATTTTTCCATAATTCTTTTCTAATTGTTCTATGATTTTTTCCATACTTATCTCTATTTCTGTTTTTAGGATCTTTTTATATGATAGTTTTTTATTTTTTAGTTCATCTTGTACTATTGGTCGTTTTTCCCATTTATCACCACGCTGGGCTGGCTGAACTCTGTAGGGTCTAAATTCTCTTGATATTTTTAATAGATGTGCACAAGGTGTTTGTAACATTATCATGTAATTATTTTGTTTATAATATT